ACTTGGCAGAGCCCTGGGAGTATGACCCCCACCCCAGTGAAGAACCTTGGCAGGGATGGGACCACTGCAGAGAGTCACAGCATTGGCAGTGCCCTGCTGTTCTGTGAGGGTGATGTTGCCACCCCAGTGAATATAGGAGGTGGATCGTCCACCCCCTTGGGTTTGGAAGGAGGGCCTGCTACCCTTGTGGGTCTGGAAGGCAGAACATCAAGCCAGAGAGGATTATTGTCAAGCCTTAAGATCTCATGAAACTTGCCTTGTTAGGTTTTGGACTTGCTTGGAGCTCATCGCCCCTTCCTTCTTTCCTATTTCTCCCTTTTAGACAGGGAGTGTGTATCCTATATCTGTTCCACCATTGTATTTTGGAAGCACATAACTTGTTTGACTTCACAGGTTCACAGTTGGAGAGGAATTTTGCCCGAGGACGTCTCACTCATATCTGATTTAAATATTTAGGTAATGCTTTGGACTTCAGAGTTAATGGTGGAATGAGTTGAGACTTTTGGGGTTGTCTGGATGCAATGAATGTATTTTGCATGTGAGAAGAACGTAAATTTTGGGGGGCCAGGGGAAGATTGCAATGGACTGAAGTTTGTGTCCCCCCAAATTCATATTGATAGTCTAACCCCCAAAGTGATGATTACAGGAGGTGGTGGAACCCTCATGAATAGGATTAGTGCCTGTATAAAAGGGATTCCAGAGAGCTCTCTTGCTCCCTTTTCTGTCATGTGAGAACACAATGAGAAGACAGCCATCTATGAACCAGGAAGTAGGCCCTCACCAGACACCAAATGTGCCAGCACCTTGATCTTGGACTTCCCAGCCTTCAGAACTACGAAAAATAGATGTTTGCTGTTTAAACCACCCAGTCTATGGTATTTTTGTTACAGCAGCCTGAACTGACTAAAACATTGCTGTTCTAGGGCATATAAGACTATTTTCCCTATCTCCTGAATCCCTTTTAGCATAATACAGAGCTGTATATGCCCCCCATAATTCAGATATGTATATTAGTTGTCTATTAGTTAAATGAGATCTTGCTAGTTCAGGTGTTTTGTAAACTCTTAAGCACTATCTGAATGTGAGGATTTAATAATTTTAAGTGCCTGCAAAGTGCATAAAAGTCCAGGTGAAGCATCCCATAGAGCACAAAATCTTCTAAAGATGTAATTCCTTAAAGGAATCTTGTTTGGAATAGATTATATAATAAAAGATTGACTTTAGATAAAGTCAGTGGTTTGTGCTGTAATGTGAACTCAACTGCTTGGATTTTCAAGGTTTAGGTAACTACAGAAGAATGCTAGGACCTCCCATGTTGGACATTGGTCGGGTGTCCATATTGTCCAAATCAGGACACTTTTAACAATGTAGGGGGAAGCTATTAATAGTTATGCCGGGACAAGGTAAACTGGGTTCATCCTTGACAAACCACTAGCTGTGGAGACACTATGCATGAATTAGAGTCATTTAGCCACTTTGATCTATTTGTTGTTCTGTATCATTCAGTTGTCTAGCTTAGTGATCCTACCCTGTAATCACAAAGGTAGGAAGTAGAGGTGAGAAAGAAAAGAATTAGGCAGAACTGAAGATGCCTTCGAAGAGCATAGTTTAAGAGTTAGAAGAGCTAAGATCTTGATTCTGCTGGAACAAACTGTGATTTCAAGCAAAGCAACTGAACCTCTCAGGCTCAGTTTTGTCATCTGCTTAATGAAATCTTGGAATTATTAGCTTTTCAAGTTGAAAGGAGTGTAGTTTATCTCATTTGCCCACCTGATTTTCTATAAAACATCCTGACAAGCAGTTGTTCAAATAGTTTGCTTGTAATAATTCCAGTGACTGGGAGTTTTCTACCTCAAGAAGCAGCTGATGACCTTCTTTCAGCTCACAGTGAATGTTAGAAAGTTCTTTCTTATAGGACAAAGTCTAAGAAAAACTTTCTAAGACTTAGCTTTAGGAACATTGAATGGACTCTTTTGCAAGAAACTTAGTTTCCTATCTTTGGAAGGATTCAAACAAAGGCCACATGACTTATGATCTCCAGATGTTCTATAATCTAGATTTCGGAGTTGAGATGACTTTTAAGGTAAATTTCTGTTCCCATAGTCAATGGTTGCACTACGATTTATTAGAAAGAAAAAACCGTTTAGTTTTCCAAGTAGCTCCTTATTGCAAATTTTCTCCTTTCTATTCTTTCTTTAAATCCTCCAAGCTCAAACCTTTCATCTGACCGTGATGCCTCTCTCTCCTTTGCCTTCTTATATTTAAGTTCTCCCCTGCCCTTAACTCAGTATCTACTATTTGTCTTCTCTTATCATCCTCATTCTGAGGCTTAACTCTGTCTTGCCTGAGTTAATCTATGGCCTCCCCTTTGAACTTCTGGCTTATAGTTTTTCCCTTGTCTAATCTACCCTGTACTTGTAAAGTATCCCTCTGATTGACTCACTTCCCTTTCCAATCCATCCTTAAACTGAACTTTGATCATATTGCAAATCTTCCCCACTCTTTATCCTGGCATTGAAAATCCTCCACAATCAGGCCCAACCTACCTCTCTAGATATACTTCTCGGACTTACTTTTTCAAACTCTTCTGGTAAAATAGATTCCCTCTTTCACTGTATTCTAAAAAGTTTCTGTTTTCCTGTTACTCAGCTTTTTCTTATACCATTTCATCTGCTTAAGACTTTCTTCTGCCCCCAATCCCCTGCCACCAATAAAATCCTACCTATATTTCGAGGTCAGTCTCAAATCTCTCTTCTGTTAACTCTTCCCAGAGGACTCTAGCCCATACTTATCTCTTCTTCCCATGAACTCCCATACCACTTTATTGTGTTTCATTCATCTGGCAACCAATCATCCATTGCCTTATAACATCTCTGAAAACCGTTATTTATCTTAAGCACTGTGATTTAACTGTTTCTTTTGTGTATATCTTGTCTCCACAACTACCTAAAATGCTCATGAGGCCAGGAGCCAGGATTACACCTTCTTTTCAACTGTTTATGGAACATAACTGGGCACCTTGTAGGGACTGGCTCATTAAAGTGTACTGACTAGTTTCCAATAGATTATCCAATTACTTTGTCACTACTTTAATAGACCACTAAGTCCATGATTAATCTTCTCTTACCCTATTTATAAGTTGTTAGTGGTGACAGAGGATAGAAGAGACCATTAGAGATAAGGTACATATGGGAGAAAGCATATTTGACTGTTTAAGTCTCCAGTAAGATGAATTGCTAAATGCTGGTGGCAAGACATTTTACTGTCAGCTATAAATGTTCCCTAATAGATTTAGGTTCCTGGAGTAGCTCCACAGAGATTGTGATTACAACCTGATACAACTCTTCCAAGAGAGTAAACAGGCATATTATTTTTTCCTTTCTAATTTGTGCTGGTTAGTCAATACCTAGGCATCTAATTCAATAGAGTCAGGAATGGCAAACCAATTCTCTGATGACTTTCTCTAGCAATTTTTAAATTGCTAATAATTAAAATTCATAATATTCTGTGTGAACCATTATGCCTAATCGAGAATGTTACATGATTCATGAGAAGCACTTCAGTTTGAATCAAGGTAAGCCAAGGGAAGGAAAGGGATTGGTCCATGGGGGTGAGGATAGGAGAAGAACATGGGATTCACAACTCTTTGTGGCTACCTCTAATGCTGTGTCATAGTGACCTCACTGGTGGGTGGGGGACGGGATGTGCTACTCCATAAGGAAAGGAAGAAGAAAATAACAAACGAGTGAAATGCTGAGTGCTAAGTCATATGAAGACCATCCTCAGATGCTAAGCAAAGGATCTCTCAGTTAAGCATATACAACGCAGGCCTAGGAGAGACTTTAATATGTGGAGAGGCCCCAGGCCAGCCAACTTGTCATGTTCCTCCATCATATCCATAGGAGGCAGAATCTGTAGTTATGACACTAAGTGGTCAAAGCCCGAGAAGTTCTAGGGGAGTGGGGATAGGTGGTTCTTCTCAATGGTATTATTTTAATTTCTAAACACCATTATTACCAAGCCACATCACACAATGCCTAGAACAAGACTCTGCTCTTTGCTAGTTATTTAAGACATCAGGTTCTGTTAAAGGCTGGATTCATCTTCTCCTTTATCTCCAAGACTTTCACAGCAGGACTTTGCTTTGGGATGAAACATGTATCATTCCGTCTCCAAACACTGGCTCCAAGATTACCCTCAGAGTCATCTATTCATTGAACAAAAATGTATTGAGCCTCTACTTTGTGCCAGACACTGCTTGAAGTAATAAATGACACAAATCCTTCCCCTCTTGCAACTTACATAACTTCTAACTGTGGTAGATCTATGAAAGAGAAGGCTGAGGGCACGGCCCAGAGTTTGAATGGTGGCACCACTTGTTGCAGTAGTGGCCAGAGATTTGGTATTGCCAGGGAGAAATAGAATCCTGCTAAGCTTTGGGGAAGATTGCTTCTTGCTCTTCTCTCTACATTTCTTTTTGTGGTAGACAGGAAACAGAGAGGCAGAATGTCATGGTGGTTAAGGACATAGGCTTTGGAATCACACAACCTGGGTTGAAAGCCTGGCTTTGCTACTGACTAGTTATTTCACACTAGTTTAATTCCTCCTCCTTTCTGAGCTTCAGTTTTCTTACCTGTTACTATAGTCATTCAGCAGACCCAAGTCAAAACTACTGATTGCAGCTTTCCTAACATAAGGGCATCTAAGTTAGCTGCTCACACACATCTTGAGTGCCTCATCCATTGGGCATACAGTAATATTTACATATCAAGTGATTGTGTACAGAGGTATCTAAATCACATACTTATCCAGGTCTGAGTCTAAGTGAATTACTCGTATTTATGAATAGTTCTAAACAGGTTTCCTAATGATATCTATCTGTAATTCCTGGCCAGACTCTGCTTCCATCTTATTATTTCCCTGTTTGGAAGGTGGCTTAACTAATACAATCAATTAAGTATTTACCCACGAGAGTTGTGTGTATTCTCTATTTCCTTTACCTTACGAATTTCTCCTTGTTGGACAGTTTTTATGACGTTAATCCATTCTTCCATGTCTTTCCGGTTGGTTGCAGCCAAGGTGACTTTTCGTTGTGGTGTGATAACCTAAACAAAAAGCCATAGTATTAGCTGTTCTCACTCCACAACTTTGCCCCATACAGGGCGTGTAAACTCTCTAAGAAACTATACACAACTACCAAGCACAACCTAAGCCACTTCTTGAATATAAGACAGAAGTTCCCAGGGCCACTCACAGCTCCTTAGATACCCACTCATAATAATAATAATGATCACAGTAATAACTAACATTTTAGTGGCACTTACTATGTGCCAGCAGCTATTCTAAAGCACTTTATGTATATTATTTCATTCAATCTTTATTATAACCCCATGAGATGGGCATTGCTCTTTTTCCCATTTCATAGCCAGGAAAACCAAGGCAAAGAGAGTTAAATGACTTGCCCAGGATCATTCGGCAAGTAAAAAGCTAAGCCAGGATTGAAATCCAGATTTTTGGCTCCAGAGTTCATGCTATTAAACGCTAAGCTGCACACCCATCTATTATTCAAGTGAGGTTGCCTAAAAACCCTACTTGCTTACTGCCGCTCTGTCTACTTGAGTGGTAAAAGAGTATATGCTTCATTGGGTGTGCCTCTCTGGGGGAAGAGTGAGATGTCAAAAAAAAAAATCTAGTTTCTTTATTTCTTATGGGCAGGGACAAACTGAAGAGAATTTTAAAGTTGTCTCTCTTAATCCTGCTTGATGCAAGAACCCAGGCAAGAATAATAAGAAAGTCATGCTGAGGGTCTAACAGACCTAGACCATGGGCAGGACTTGGCCTTTTCCCACATGGCAGGAGGGAGCATGGATAGCTACAGCACTAGTCATTGCTTCAATGGCCCTACTTGCTTTTACTACCAGCACCCCAAATCTTGGAGCTAGAGTTCACCACATTAACAAGCAATTTTTCTTCTTTTGTATACAGCATGGTGTGATTCTGCGGTAGATGGGAATAGGAGCTACTTGGGATTGTGATAACAGTCACTCCTTTGGTCCAAACCTATTCTTGGGTGGAGCTGATGTGCAGTGCCTCTGTGCTTTAATTAGGCTAAGGGGCAGCCTAACCCTTAGGATTTCTTTGTAGAATGGAGATCAAAAACAGCCTGTAGGCTCATCACCCGAAGGTTCAGCTTTCTAGGACTGGTCAACAGACTCCTCAGCTTTACCCTGGCTCAGTGTGACACAATAAGAGAGAAATGAAAGCAGGGTCTCCTTCTTAAATACAGGTGCTTTCCTTTCGAAGGAGAATGGAACATGGACCAGCCATGGAAGCAGGATATTGGGTCTGTAGCTCTTTAGTCTGCTAAGTACCATTCCCTACCTAACTGACGAGGAATCCCAGTCTCCATCACCCACCATTGAGACTGGGAGAAGATAGTTCTGGGAGGAGATAGGTAGGAAAATTCCAGGGCCAATGGACTTCCCATTTTTTGGTGAGTTTCCTGGTCAGGATTGAGTTGCATGACCAAAGCCATATGACATTTCAGCCTCACCAAGCTTTTGAATACTTCCCCAGAAAATCCTCTGCTTTCTTGGAGGTACTCTTGTCTGTCTCAGCATGGGGTAGATTTCACTTTGGATTTAGGTTCTTATACACCTCATTAAAGGAGAGGATGATGCCCTGTGACTCAATTATCCTGATATTTTCTATAACATATTAGCCATCTCTCGAAAACCTCACAATGATAGTCTTTACCAGGAGGACTGATTTTTATAATAGTCACACACAGCCTGTCCTCTGAAATCTGCTTAGCTTTATACCAAGCTGGTAATAGGGAACACGGACATCACTTTTTTCTCCCCTTTCAGTGGGCTGGTAGAAAATGTTTACATGAATAATAACACTTTGGAATCAGAGGAGACTTGGGAAACCTAAAGAACAAAGAGGAAATAAGTGGGTATAGCAAACCCTCTTCCCAGCTAGACCTCACCCCTGCCCATTCAGTCATTCCCAATCTTACTTACACAAAAACTGTGGCAAAGGTTTCTACAGCTGCTTTCTGCCAAGGCGACCTGAGATAGATCAATTGTTTCAAAGCGTGCAAACTGGAAAGATGTAAGAGGGAGAGGGACAAGGAACCATTTGGTTAATGAGGCAAAGAGACATTAAAAGGTACACACGCATGCACACATACACACACAGACAGGCACTTTTGGCTATGGCCTAATGATTTCTTTGACTTGAGGGCTGTGATTTATTTAGCAACATGATTTTTGTTGATATATCATGTGACAAATAAAAACCAAACCAAAACACAACTCTTCCCAAAACTTGTGGATTTATAGGAAGGCTTGGATTGGTCAGTTCAGAATTATTCAAATATAAATGTTTATGCTGGAGAAGATAATGGGATGTGGCCTAGTGAGGGGCCTAGTGAAGCAGATTGTTATTAGCTCCTATTTTATTGGGTGGTGGCCTTTAACTGTGTTGCTAGTCCCATCCAGTGTGAGGCCTATGTCTCCTTATACACTGGCCATAGTAAAAACCACCCACCCGGCCAGCAGCAGGAAATCAGTACTACAGACAGAGACAGGGCTGGTTTCACTGGTATGCAACCTGTGCAGTCACACAGCGTCCCATGTTCAGAAGGGCCCCACACTTGGTTTAATGTTCTGCTGTTGCCATCTTGAAATTCTTAAAATTTTATCTTTGCACTTGTGTTTTGTAAGTGAAGTCCAATGGGACAGTGGATCATGCACGGAGGAGATATGTACAATATGCAAATCTACCCCATGTCTTGTCACTCCATTTGCATTCATGATGCCCATGAGCATAGAATTCAGTGGACCCATGATGAATGGGAGTTCAGTGAGACTCAAAGCAAGACTGATTAAGTGGGGGAGCTGCCAGCCCCGAGAGGCCACACTTTCTGTTGGAACCAGAACTTACTTCAAACACAGAAAAATGGCAATGGTGTTCTAAGAAACATGAACAGCCAAGGAGTCCTACTGTATTCTTTCTTACTTGTATTACTTCCTTGTGCCACCATTTATGCTAAAAATGATGACATTGAAGGAAAGGAAAAGATAGGGCAACCCATTGTTCCTTTTCCTTTAAGTCAGAAAGTGTTAATAGAATGTGCAAGTATCACAAAGTGAAATAAAAACTGTTGAGCTAATTTTGTGCAGTTTTGCCTACTGGTGAGAACAAAATACATCTCATGTACGAGCTACCAAATACAGATTATATAATTTTGGTGATTCTTCATGTGAATTAAATGCTCTCATATTTGCATTTAAAACCAGCATTGTGCCATGTACAGGTAAACGGTAAAATGTATGCTAATTATTTAAAATTCTATTCTTCTTTACTTAGAATGACATTAAATAGCAAATTTAAAAAATATCATGACAAATCATTGCTTTATATTTTAGTATGAATATATTGGTACCTTTAATAGCACTTTCCCCCTGCTTTTTGTATAAGGGGCCCTACATTTTCATTTTGCACCAGGCCTCACAAATTATGTAGTTGGCTCTAGGTGCAGAAGCCAACTGACGAATCTATGAGACAGGAAGGGGGAAGGAGAGAAAAGTGTCCCCCATTTGGCCCCAAAGGACAAGATAAAGGAAAAGTAGAGGGTTTTGTCTTTCACCCTAATGTTTGCCAACATGTCTTTACCTCCCCATCTCCCAACAGAAACATTTCCTGGCACCCACTCACTAATCCAATTGACAAGACACTATATGTTACCGCAGGATGGTGTGCAAATAAGAGCTTCTGCTCTCGAACAAGAAAGTATCTAAGCTTCCATCTCTTGAAGGAGCTACAGTTCTTCAGCAGAGGACCTTCCTTCAGTATTTTCTGGAAGACACAAGCATATCATTGAGTAATTAAACCAATTTGTAACACTTTATTACTTGTTCTCTCATATGGGAAGATTAGATATCTAGAAGGCTTGATCTCTGTCACATACCTGAGAAATGGCCTGAAGACCAGGCAAGAGCACAAGGAAGTCACTTCAATCAGAAAAGACACTGATTACCCTTGGATAACACATTCAGGCTGATATAGGCTTCAAGTTTCTTAGGATACATAGCTATAGAACCAGGGGAAAAAATCTGCATTTATGGTCAGAGGCTAGAAAAGGAGGACATGAACACATAAATACAAAAATAACATTCTTAGAAAAGAACAAGTGGTAGGGAAAAAAGCTGAGTTCAGTAAAGGCAGATTTTCTGAAAGTGTCTAGGTTGTAGCTCTAGACAGGGCCTTCTTGTCAGCTTTTTTTTTTTTTTTTTTTTTTTGAGGGTTCTTTGGAAGAAGTTTAATATTGTTTCATTAAAATTTAACATATCTGACATTTGCTATATTTTATTTTTATTATTTATTTATTTATTTATTTATTTATTTATTTATTAATTTATTTATTTATTTATTTATTTATTTATTTATTTATTTATTTATTTATTTATTTATTTATTTATTTATTTATTTATTTATTTATTTATTTATTTATTTATTTATTTATTTATTTATTTATTTATTTATTTATTTATTTATTTATTTATTTATTTATTTATTTATTTATTTATTTATTTATTTATTTATTTATTTATTTATTTATTTATTTATTTATTTATTTATTTATTTATTTATTTATTTATTTATTTATTTATTTATTTATTTATTTATTTATTTATTTATTTATTTATTTATTTATTTATTTATTTATTTATTTATTTATTTATTTATTATTTTTTTAAAATTTTTATTTTGTCAATATACAATGTATATGATTATTATGGCCCTTACCGACACCTCCCGCCCTCCTCCCTCTGTCCCCTCCCCCCCAAGAATGTCCTTTTCGTTTGCTTGTTGTAACAACTTCAAAAAAAAATAGTTGTTATATCTTCTTCCCCAATGTTTTCTTATGTTTTATTCCAATAATTTAAAATGGCATTTTTCACTTTTAGAGTTTTAAGTATACCTGGAAATTTTTTTATTTTTTTTTTTATTTATTTTTTTAATTTTTTATTTTGTCAATATACAATGTATATGATTATTATGGCCCGCCACCGACACTTCCCGCCCTCCTCCCTCTCTCCCCTCCCCCCCAAGAATGTCCTTTCCGTTTGCTTGTTGTAACAACTTCAATTTCTTTTTCTCTGTCTGACTCGTTTCACTCAATATTATTCTCTCAAGGTCCATCCATGTTGTTGCAAATGGCAGTATTTCATTCGTTTTTATAGCTGAGTAGTATTCCATTGTGTAGATATACCACATTTTCCGTATCCACTCATCCGATGATGGACATTTGGGCTGATTCCAGCTCTTGGCGATTGTGAAGAGTGCTGCAATAAACATTGGGAAACAAGTGTACCTTCGACTTGATGATTTCCATTCCTTTGGATATATTCCCAGCAGTGGGATAGCTGTGTCGTATGGTAGATCTATCTTCAGCTGTTTCAGGAACCTCCAAACCATTTTCCATAGGGGTTGCACCATTATGCATTCCCACCAACAATGTAAAAGAGTTCCTTTTTCTCCACAACCACGCCAGCATTTATCATTTGCTTGTCAGCTTTTTTAGAGTGTTCCTTTTAGCTTGTTAAGTTGGATCATGTCCCTTCCCTGCTCACAAAGCCTCCGACATCCTCCTAACACTCTTATAACCAAATCCAAAGTTCTTACCATGGCCTTTTGGTGACTCATGATCTGGTGAGTGAACAAAGACATAAAAATGGCACCAAAAGAGAACTTACCTTGTTATTACTTTCTTTACATATCTCAGTCTGACCACTGATTTTCTAGTTACTTGCTGAACAGACTGACCCTAACCAAGCATAGATTCTACTTACTATTTTCACCACTGAGGAAGTTCTCAGTTACATTATAAGATACAAACCAACATGCAAGACTGCCATTTGGGAGAAGCACTCACCCCCCACCAAGCTGGAACCAAACCCATATTTAATGGACAAAGAGCCAGACTGAATTTAAGTCAGCAAATCAAGGCCCTACCATGAACTCCATCCATCATCTTAATTAGAATTCACAAATGAGTGGCCGTGGAAGTGTTTTGTTTGGACCATCTAGTGTTTTTCAAAGTTTTTAATTAGTTGATAATATTTAAAAGGTAGAAAATTTCATATAAAAATCCAGGTTTCCTATTTCTTTTTAAAAATAAGAACATCTGGTAACAGTGGACTTATATTCTTACATAGCAACAATCTGCTGGAACTGAGTGGCAGCTGCCCTCTTCACATGCGGTGCCTGACTCCAGCAGGCATTCAAGTTTGGGACCCTGATCTAAACAATTCTTTGCCACTCCCATTCCCCCCAAACACACATGTATCTATACACTCTGTTCAATTCTCTAATTAATTAGATAGCACTAATGGACAGAAACTCTGCATGTCAACTAAAAAGTTAGTTCATGAGCAATCGCCATTACCTAAGTCTTCTTGATAATTTATGCAAGTTTCAAGGTTCTTGTCGTGGCCTTGAGATGCAAAAGAATGGTGCTGAGGACTCAAGACAAAGGACAATAAGCTCTTGTGGGAAGCGAGGAGGTTGCACAGATTCTGTCTTTTATTCAAGTTATTCTGCTCTGTCCATTTTTTTTTAAAATTTTTATTTTGTCAATATACAATGTAGTTAGTTATTGTGTCCCATCACCGAAACCTCCCTCCCTCCTCCCTCTCCCCCCTCCCACCCAGGTGTGTCCCCTCCATTTTCTTGTTGTAAGAACTTCAAAAAAAAAAAGTTGTGGTTGTTATATCTTCCTCCCCCCCCCCGGTTTTGTTGTTGTTGATGATGTTGTTGTTGTTGTTTGTTTCTTTTTTTGAGTGTGTGTGTGTATGTGTGTGTGTGTATGTATGTATGTGTGTGAGTTGATTCATTCACCTTTAGCTCCCTCCAATAAGTGAAAACATGGTATTTCTTTTTCACTGCCTGACTCATTTCACTTAATATTAT